TTAGTCCCTGGACCCCACCACCCTCATGGTGAATAGTGGCCTCCTCTGGACATTTCCTGTCATCGCTTGTTTCCTATGTTCCTTGTCCCCCCCCCCTCCCCTCCCCTCCCGTCCGTATTCCTTTTGATTGTGCCACCACGCGAGATCAAAATGGGGCCGAGCGTCCGCTGCAAAATTCGATCTGGGGAGTCCATAACCCACTGACGCTCGTTAGCTTCGGTGAGGGCGACTTGGACACCCACAGACCTTATGATCATGGACTCGTCTTGCTCGATGAGTACACACGTTTCCGATGAGACGATTGTCACATGGAGACGAGGTATTTCGGTCCGGGGGAAACCTAGGAATTCGACCGCATACCCGTCCCCATAGCTTATTCCGTGGCAATAAGAGTCTTGCGGCGTGCTCTGCAAGAGCATTTCCATCCGTGGCCGAGAACCATCCAGTGCCACGCAAATGATTGAAGTAAAATTGATGCGGACCGTGGCTATGACTGCGATTCTGGTTTCCATGGCGATTGTGGCCGCGATTCCGGGTTCCATGTCGTTGATCTCTGTTTTGTCTGTTTCTTGCTTCCTTGGGTTTCCGATCCGCAAGGACGCTCGGGGAGGTGGTCTATATAAGAAACCGACCACGGACCACGGCGTGAGGGTCAATGGGTCGCTTAATGGCTGTATGTAACTGGCTGCCGCTCCGAAGTCCCCCAACCTCGATCACCTCGCCGGTGCATCATGGTCGACGGCAGGCATTCATTACTCAATTGCTGGGAGTAGGGAGCGGTCCTGACCAAAGTCACCATTGAGAACCCATGCCAGCCCCGGGAGGACTAGAGTTAGTCTCGTGGCGGTGCGGACGTCGGTGCTCAGGCGGACAACTCGTGAGGTCGAATGTCACGGTGCGATCATGCTCCCGCGCGCCGAGCACTTCCGGCGTCGAGTTCTGTTGGATAAGTCTCGGTGGTGACATGTCGGGACGACGTCAAATGGGGTTTCCAGGAGGGATAGGTCTCGAGTCCTAACGCTATTCTGTCTCGCTCAAACTTGCTCCATTTGTGGGTCCCGATTGGGACCGGAATGGATCCCTGAGAGACGTGAAAGGTCCAAGTGGGACCCCCTCCGTCCACAAGGTTCATCTTTTCCCTGATCGTAGACGTGATGATGGTGGAGGAAGAAGAATTGTTAGAGCCGATGTGATATACCATCACCTCGATGCGCGCCGACGTGAATCCGGCGCCGGGCTGACCGAGGAGAGACGCATACGCCCGGACACGCATATGCACGCGTCCGTCCTCAAGTCACCACGTCACAATGGCTACATTCGTCCCTTCCGTATCCCCAAGGTGACTCCACATCCTTCGAAAGGGTCGACAACCATCTTCTTTCTTCATCCTCTTCCTCGTCCTCCTCCTCTTCCTCCCCTCCCTCCTCTCCCTCCTCCTCCTGCTCACCTTCCTTTAGTCATCGTGGGTATTCGCGCCTGGAGTGGATCGAACCGTCCCCAGTTGTACGGTCCCTCCTTTCGCGAGAACGGCCGTCAGTCTCATCAATGCAACCCTCGAGTCCCTCTGAAGACGCCAAAGAAACAAGGTTCGCCCAAACTCGCCAATGCACGGTCGCAATATGCGCCACTTTTCGCGCAACATGCTGAAGTTCCGGGAGGGATCGCCATTGCTGCCTCGATGCTCTCGAAGCGGTTGCCACTGCCTCTGCGCTGGCGAGAGAGCCAATATGGTCATGTTTTGGAAATTGCCCATGTGCCCGTTTGCCGCCGCCTCTTCGAGGACACGGAGAAGGGCCCGTGAACGATGGCTGGGTTTTGACCCCCTCTTCCTCCAACTGCGCGATTAATCTTATGGTCGTTCTTGTTTGACTGTGGATTCGGGTATAAGAAAACGTGGCACCCAGCCCGATCTGGAAACCAGCCCGTACCGGCCCGAGAGCAATGGCGTCGGCATGTCGTATACCTGATGTCTTGCATAGGACGTCCCTCAAGATTACCGTCGGTGAGATCCATTACTTGTGCATCTCCAATACGCGAGCCTCCCAAGATAGCTTTTCAGGACGTGGCTGCATCGTGATCCAGGAGCTCCCGGAGCAAGTGATCAAAGACTCGAAGATATCTTGTCCAGGTGAATCATGTCCTGAAAGGCCCTGCGGATCTCTCTCAGCCGCTTCGGATCGGAGGCAAGCGTGGCTGAAACCTCCGGATCATGGCAGAGGCAGACCTCGAACATTCCATGAACTAACGCGGCCGTCGGAAGTGTTCGGTGTGCTTGCGCTATCGACTTGACATTGTCGGTGCTTTCTCAGAGCGTCCCAGTACCATACTCGTGGCTCGTCGATCTCGAGTTCACCGTGTCTGATACGCGACCTGAAATAGTCTTGCTGAAATGCGACGGTATCATCGATCGAGGGGTAAGGAAAGCTTCTGATCTGGTGATTGGCGATGTCCAGCTTCACAGCCTCCAGAAACTGAAAGAGCTTTTCCATACCAAGAACAAGAGTGTGTAGGTCCCCAGTCTCCGCACCTTGTCCTGATTTTTGTTTGGCCATTTCATGTGCATCGACGTCCCCTCATTGGCGCGCAGTGACTTGTAACCAGGCCATCGGCCCATCGAGCCAACCGGACAACGTCGAAGAGGCCATGAGACACCTCTTGCAGGAGCAGAGGCGCGTCAAGATACTGACCGAACCGGGTCCTGGTCCCTATCCGCGACCAGGATGACGAGTAGCTCTTTCAACTTCCGAAATAAGGTAGGCAACCTTCGCTCCAGGGCCGCTTATGGCAAGAAGGAATGACGATCGAATCTTTGCCCTCGTGTTCTCCTGGGCTCCAATGTTCCCACGTTGCGGGTTGCGACTCTCGGTAGGGTAAAGGGTTCGGCCTCTTGAGTAGACCCCGAAAGAGTGCCTCGACTCTCCACGGCCATTGGCAGGGCCGGCTGGAGACGAGGAAGGGCCACACGCTTGTCGTGACTCTGGGAAGAGAAAGGTCGATCCGGGAATCGGGACAGAACCCGCGAGGTGGCGGAAGGCGCGAGTAGGTATGGGGTCGGAGGGGTGGGCGCCTCGAGCTCGACGATAGGGCTCTCCCGCAGGATGGCGCAGCCAATCCGCAGGAGGTTGACCGACAGTTCTGGAGATAGATTAGTTAGGGGATCACACGTCCTGACTCACACGGCAAGGCATCAACGACGATTTTCGACGAGACCAGACGATGTCGTGACCGCCCCAAGCATTCGGGGGTCTCGATCTTGAGTTCAGCTACATCGAAAATGGCGACCACGTTACCTACCCCCTTCGGGTCTCACTTCCTCCCCCCCCCC